CACACACACACACACACACACACACACACACACACACACACACACACCAAAAATGTACGTTAATCACTTCTGTTTAACTGTCTAATCGATTTTTCCTCTTTCTTTTTTCTTTCTCCCTCCCCCCTTTTTTGGGGAGAATCGTAAAAGTGAATTATATGTCCTTTACAATTAGAAATTCAATATTTTTCTAGATTACAGCTGAAGATGTGGAACTTGCAAATCAAGAATATACCGGTCTTGTAGATATAGTAATGTGTTCACTGCCAGATTCTTTATTACAACCTTTGTTACAAAGACTTCATTTAGAGAAAGTGCAGAGACAAAGCGGGGAACAAATTACTGCCAAACAATTTCTATTCAACTGCGACCCGGCACTTCGAAGTGTTGTTGCAAAGGAGGCATTACAATGGAGAAAGGGAAATGTAACGCAGGTAATAAAAATCGAAATAAACGGTTACTATATTTTACGCCAAGATGTTTTACGCTAACGTGTAAGCTACGGTGTAAATAATGATATACGCACTACACTTTGCTTACAGGAAGACCTTATCTGGAGACACAAAGGGAAGGTACACTTGCTAAATTTAATCAATCTTACTATAAACGCTATACACAAGTTACAGGTTCTAGAGAAGCAATGGCCATGCATTCTTTATGAAATCGTTTATAATACTTTGTCCGATTTTTCTGAAATGGATGTATACATGAAACGTTGCAGTAAAATACTCGAAAGTAACTAACAAATAGTATCATGTCTGTGCCTTGAAAAGTAATATATATCTATCGCGATATTGAGTAACGTGATGACTTATTGATGATTTGATTATAGTACATCGCAGAATGATAATGTTTGGCTTTGCTACGTTAAATATTGGAGAATTAATAAAGGAACGTACAGAAACATATACAACGGGGACGATTTTATATTGTTATTGCTAGATAAATATATTAAATACGTTTGCTACCTATAACGTTTAACATTAAACACGAATTGTGGTATATTCATGTATAAAACAATAAATTGTATGTAAGCATTGTTAATATTTTTTTTTCTGGAATATACAGCCAACGAAAGTGAGATATACCTTATTATATTATTATATAATATTCTGAAGAGCCGATTAATGACTCTTCAGAAGTTTTATGATTCGCATAATGAATACGTAGTATGATTTTTATAAAAGTTTCTACTTGACTTGTATGTTCTATTTGTACATATATAAGATTATTCATTTTATTGAGAGATTAATCGTTTGAACGCCAACGAGTATGAACGATATTTCATTCCTCAATTTTCCACTCAAAAATAGCATTGTCATTTACTGCATATCCTGCTGTTGCTCCAATATTGTTGAAAGATAAGTGCGACAGTTACATTAGACTATCGGACGTTGGATAGGTACATAGGTATCCGCTATGATTGTACTGCGATTATTGTGATATCATTGGCAATTCTCAGAAAATCAAGTGATAACTCGCTGGTACTCAAACGATTAAAACATGGATATTTGGGACATCATTTCGTACCGATAATAGATTCCACGCTGAAGGAAATTGGCGCTTTCTTTTCTAAACAAGGTTTATTGGTTGTAGTAGGGGAGTTCCGCAAATCTCTCGTGGAAATAAAATTGTTCAAGTCCCCATTCGATATGTACGATTGCGTTACCTCATTGAACCACGGAACCATTGCCGGATATGCAGAATGGAAAGATTGTATCTTTAGTGTGGATTTATCTTCTTGTTTTTGATCGCATCCCAGAGAAGACAAAGTGCTCAATAAACGCGGATGTGCTGATACTGAAATGTGCAAACAAACAGTCTTTTGTAAGTAAACGTTGGGCATTGACTACTATATATATTAAATATGCAGTAAATATATACCGACAAAATTATTAGGCACCATTTTTTCTTCTGAATATTTTGGAACTGAATGAGCGTAAAGCTTTTTATTGTTTTCATCCTATTGGCCTTGTAAATGATTTTAGGTACAAACACGTGAGGTACAAAGTCCGTTATTTCTCTTAGGGAAACAGCAATATATTGTTCAGAAAACTGTTTACTCCGTCGTTCGATTTTGATTAATACGGTCTACGGACAAAAAAGTCTAGCACGTGCTTGTGAAATGGAAATAATCGCGCCCGTATTAATCACAAATAAACGGAAAACTCATTCATTCCAAGATATTCAGTAAAAACAAGGGTGCCTAACAATTTTGTCTATGGCTATGTGTGCTCTGTACGGTACATACATGATTATATTGATTTAATTTTATATATCGGTCAGCTATACATCAATAACAAGGCAATTTTTCAAAAATGTATTATTAGTTGCGAGAGTACACTCGCAAAAGTGGGAAAAGCGAAAAATTGAATAATATAGAACGTGGACATATCATACACATTTCATGCCAATGGATCGAAATATTTTCGAGACTCCCTTACGTTTATTATATTAAATCTCTTCATAATCAGTTGCCTAAGATTTTTGCTAATAAAAAATTCAGAAACATGTGTCAAATATGATGATATGTATGTATGTACGATGTCCGACGTAAAGGTCTATATATATATAGACCTATATTTTATATAGACCTATATAAAATATATTTATGAATAATTTATTTTTGCGATAAAGCGAAGGGATTGTACAGGATTGCAAGTACTCACATGCGCCAGGTAAACTATGTACAGTATTTAATCCATAGAAACCCTGCGTCACGCTGATACTCGTCTGCGTGAAATGTAAATGATGCCTTTGAAAATTCTTGGATCTTCTACCGCAGACAGATTCGTCGTATTTCGCTTTAGCGTAGGGATAAGGACATACAGGGTCCGCTGATATTTTATTTACCGAAGACAAAAGACTGTCGCCTTGCGCTTGTTGTTGCCTACGTAGAGCAACTTGCGCTGCCATCACTCGCTGCCTTTCGACGACTAGAAGGCAACAAGGACATCGGCAATCTTTCCACGCACAGGATCTCTTGTGACCTTTTAAGCCAGATATTACACCGTGGTTTCGACATCTCGCGCACTTTGGACTTCTCAAACGTTGCTCCACGTTTGTATTCAAACGACTCGAAGTACTTCCGCCAGTTTTCATCCTGATTTCGATATTATCTTGAGGGAGAGAGAGAGAGAGCGAGAGAGAAAGAATGGCACACACACACACACACATATATATATATGTATTATATTTAATCGATGGAATACATCAAATCCCAAATTGTTTGATCATTAATTACGAAAAAAATTATTTTCTGATTACTTGATATGCGGCCGACATTAAACACATTTGTTCCACAGTGTACGCAATTGTGCATCTCGTAGCATATGATAATTGGCACGTCCAACAAGTCTCACAGATTCGCTTATTGTTAAATTTAAAAACTCTTTGTCTTCTTGGATAAGTCGTATTTCAAGTATTCTGTGCGTAGACTTCGTCGCACGCAATACTGATGGTCGCTTCAGTTTTCAAGTTACACAATAAACTTTGCACACATCATACGTTTTTTATATATGTGCGAAAAGTTACTTCCTTTTTATTTTCACATTTCTTTTCCATCGTTTTGATAAAACTTGTCTAAAAATGTGCCTTTCCTTGTCTTTGTAATATTTTTCTCTGTAATGCTGAGCTTGTTGTCCGTTCGACTCTTCTTAAATACGTTGACAGAGTTACGTTGCTGAATTACCCTCGAGTCTTGCTCGAGCAGGAGATACGTACTCGTAAGAATATTTCTTGTCTTTCGCGAAGGAGGTGTCGTCCCATCTCCTCCTACTGATTCAAAATATATTTTTAGCAAGCCGACGTATCCCCATTGGCTCGAAAGCTCAGGAAACTCCGCCGCTTTCGTCAGCTGCGAACCAATGGATCACCATGTTTCTCTTGACGTTTTTGTTACGAGCAGCTCTACGAAAGAAAAATCCTTCGTTAACGGTATAGCTTCTTTGATTATAGCTTGCACGGAAACGCAATGGAAACGTATCGATACATTGTCAGGTACGAAGGCTGACATGTGTATATATATACACACACACACACACACACACACACACACACACACACACACACAAACACAGAGACTCATCTGTACTGTACGTGTGCCCGCGCATAGGACCAAGTTTAAATTTCTCGTATCTATTATCGTATAATAGATCAATGGAGTACAAATGTTAATTAGTTATAGATTAACAGCCTATACATTAATTTTTAATTCACGTGTTATCACTCCCGGTCGCTTGGAGAACGTTTGATATCTCTCGTTCTTGAATATATCTCTTCTCTAAAAGACAAACTTTAAAATTCAATCCAATTTGCGCTTGTTCCTATACGAATATACGATATCCTATATCCATATATTATTTCATTCTTATATTCTTCCTGTTGTTATCTAATTCTAGTGGATAATGTGATAAAAATTTTTCAACGAAATTTATCTTGTACGTGTAAAGAAGAAAGGAGAGCGGTGCCATTGAAATACTAGATACGCACAGGCCGATGCGATATCCTTTCAGAAATAACGTTGTACGCAGGATGTTAACCAGGCGGTTATCGAGGAAGAGTCCGCGCGGTGTCACTCATACATTGAGAAAACATACTCGAAACTAATATTAACTGTGTGTTGGCAACATCCGAGAGGATCGTATTAACGAGCTCTTAGAGCAAGATCACAGAAAGAATGCCATATGGTTGCAGCTGCTGGCGCACAACGTTGTTAGTAGAGAGAGATTGTCCGTCTTCTATTTTTGCGGTGCATAACACGATCCGTGAACAAGGCAACGAAAGGAATCACGCTATTATATTGACTAAGTACGACACTGCTCATTGTTGCCGGCAATAGTAAATATATATCGTACAATAATTAAACATTATAGTAATTTTCACTTTTATTAAGGAGAAAATCGCAAGGAAATACTGTTTATATATATATTCGTAAAGTTTCCAAGTTGAGCACGCTCGAAAATTCTGGGGATTCAAGAGATGTGCGTTATATATTATATTATATATTATATTACACACGAACAATATTACGCGAAAGACTCCATTGCTTTCGCTATTTTTTAAATTAATTATTCTTTTCTCGATCAATTAAGACGATATATGTATAATTATGCGATATTTTAACTTATTATGTTTTGTGGGCGTGCGTGTGTGGTTTGTGTATTCATGACATTCTACACTACAAGTTGAGTGATGAAAAGTCATGTGTAGCATATTTTTTTCTACGGAGAATTTTTTGCTCTTCTAAATTCATGCGGTGTTAGACAAGTTTAAATTTACATATGTCACTCTCTCGCATGCAAACACACACATACACGTAGCAGACAGTATTAGGCACGCGTGACACGTACCGAAGAATTTATCCTAATGAGCGTGGAACGCCGAAGGAGTGTCATTTTGGACACTTTTTCTTTTCTCCTCCTCTCATGAGCACGTCTGCCTAAGGGTGTTGTCAAGACGGCAAATATGTTGACAGGTCATTCAACATCTTTCTCGCCTTAGTCGCACGATGGGGCCACGAAGAATTAAGCTGAGGAATGGCTGAGACGATAAACTGTCTTACGCTTATTCCTTGGGACCTGAGCAGAATGACTGCCTTATAATTTCAAGACAATGTTTTATGTTTTAAATCTTTGTTTTTTGTGTCTCAAGTCTTACAAATGTTGACACTTGGTACACTCGTTTAAGACTTGAGACACAAGACATTATTGTGCGTTACTAAAAACAAAGATTTAAACATTTAAAGCATAAAACATTGTCTTAAAATTATAAGTCAGCCATTCTGCTCAGGCCCTTAAGAATAAAAGGACTACATCACGCACAAAATAATTAAGGAATCTATCGATCGAAAGTTTTTTTATTCTTCTATAGTACACATTATACAATTTTAAGATTATATTACGTTTAATTATATGACTTAACCAATTCTTAATCCGTTTCTCATTGTCGGCTAAAAAGTTGAAAAGATAAAGGGATATGCGAGACACGCCGATAGCCTTTTGGCATCAAATTTACTTTGACGTGACGTGTTACACACAACTGGCACATATATGTATGTACTATACATATAGGTCTAATATACATACCATTGCCGGATTGCCCGTCGATATATCAAAAGAATACGCAAATGTATCGTTAATTTACGAATAACGAATAAACTATAATAGATAGCGCCTGTAGCCTTTAGCTTTTTTTAAGGTTTTTGACACGCCTTAAAAGACGAAATTGTCATTTGTTTTCGTATATTTGTACGCGTGTTTCCCACAACGTGGATTTTAAATTGCAAGGGAATAAAGAGCCTAAACAATCTTATCTAAATATTGAATCGTATCGAGCAAATTAAGCTGTTGACACGGAATTCCGAACCGAGATACTCACGATGCCGAATTGCACGACCAATCTCACTTGGTATCTTGGAAAGTTTATTATCGGATTTACCGGGCTATTATTTCTTTATGTCAGTTTCTTGAAAAAAAAGTAAGAGAGAGAGAGAGAGAGAGAATTTTCAACGTGTAGGCCGAATCAAAACGAGGAATAGTGATGTTGAAAGTAATCTTGCAATAATTTTTATCCAACAGTGAGAAAAAAAGTTGCGTGTGCGACATTAGAATGAGAAAATTACTAAGGGAGAAAAACGAAAAGTGAGTCACACACATTGGTTATACGCGCACGTTTTTCTAAAGTTTTTATTTCATTAAGTATATAGTATAGAAATTTTTTCCTTCTTTCACGGAATATATATATATATAGTATCTCACTATTCACTAATCTAGAAAGTAATAATAAATGAAAGAAATATAAGCGCGCTGACACGCGCGCGCACACACACACACACACACAAGCGTATCTATCGAGATTGCGAAAATCACAAAAGGATCATGCTTCGTATGACCGGCGATATCACGATACGTGTCAAAATCGATGTAACGCGAGCAGTACTAATTCTTAATACATTAAATGGCCGAGTAGATGCAAATGTGCGAAAGGGTAAGTGGATAAGATATATCTTAGCGAGAGACGTTTACTCAAATTGAAAGAGCGTTACTTCCTGTGTGTCTATAGTTTAGCGTTAAAGAGAAATATGGATAATTTAGATGGAAGAGTAAAGTCTTAAAAATATATCTGTATCAACCGAACCAAGTATATTTTAAACCGACGTATCAGCTTTTTAAAGGTTTCTTCTTCGTCACTAGTTTGCTCAGTTTATTTATTCTTGGAGACTTTGAAAATCCTTTGAAAATCCTAATACAAGAAAATAAACAAAATGATTCTACGATTATTTTAAAAAAATAATACTGTTATTTGTATCTTTTTACTCAATGCAGGATGCAAAGTAAACGTTACCTATGTGGATGCAACAAGCCAGTGCGCCAGTGTGAGTTTCCTGCAGTTAATTTGCATTAGGCAGAGAATAAATGTTTATGTTTTAACATAAGATATTCTTAATTTCATATTCTCATACATGATATATATATATATATATATATATATATATATATATGTGTGTGTGTGTGTGTGTGTGTGTGTGTGTGTGTGTGTGTGTGTGTGCGTGCGTGCGCGTGTGTGCGTGTGTGAATAGTAATTCTCTATTATATATTAGGACGCAGGACGACGATGTGGCACCGGCGGTTTCAAATAATCTTGTTAAGCATAAGAAGTCTCGTCCGAAAAGTCATTATTGCACCAGAAGAAATTCTTGCTAAGAGAAACGCGATAACGTGCGACAGCCCTTTGCTAGGGAGTATTACTTTCTGAAGAAAAGATGACCTCTTATCTAGAATGGCTTTTCTTCAAAATTATTCCCTGATGATTGATTCACTAATCGTCAATGTGTCAAATAATAAAAGCGTAAAGAGAATTTGTAGATGGAATCGAAATATATATAATATATCTATATATATACATACAAAAGCAAGATACAAAAGTTTAAAGTTTAAACTGACGAAGACGCACGTCTCACACATTTTTTGCTACAAATGACTTGTATAAAAGAAAAAAAAATGTGTCACGTACTTGCCTCAATTACACGCAAGACTTCACTAGTTGAAATTACTTAAAAGACACGTGTATTTTATATTTACGTGTATTTGTATATGCGAGTTTTGAAACGTGTGTCGTAACTTTTGAGCAAAAGGCGCGTTAAACTATGTATAGTCGAATAGAGGAATTCCGTCGTGTATGTTTCAATTAGTAATCTGTCGAATTGTACGTGTCAACGATCTGAGGCGTAGAGACACAAATTAGTAGTCGTTGAGCCATTATCCATAATCGTGCTATTATGCATAATAGATAGCAACAGTTACGTGTATCTTTATGTATATAATTGGCAAGTTAGCGAGTAAGCTGCGAGAAATTCTATGAATAAATTCGGCATACTGTAGGAGAGTGACATGCCTGGTCGCACGCTCCGAAAATCCGAAACTCGATTAATACGCGTCCCATCTGTAGGTGAAGAGTCTATAAGTAGATCCTGCGCGGGCAGAACGTCAGTCATATTCGTATATTATTTATACTGACCTCGTAGACACGAGACACCTCCTCGTTGCTAACGAGATGGCCGCTTGGCTTGACCGCACGATGTGTGTGTAATATATACATATTTAATATATTTTCATCAACCGCATATGAATTAGAATGTTTATTTAGGTATCAATATCTCGTTGATGTCAACGAAATATAAAATATTCATTCCCCTTTCTCCTCCCCCTCTTTTTCTTTCTCATATTAGTTAATCGGGGAGTTTTTTTTTTCAAAGATTATTCGTTTTACATCACAGAATTTTGTTTTACATCAACACCCGCAGAGTCCTTCCTTTTTATGTTTTATGTTTCTCTTTTACGCCAATTCAAAATTATAATTCTTAAAACGATGATTGTTGAAATCAAAATCTAGAGGCTGAAAATAGTAAAGAAATTGAAGATTACAGATGAAATATCAATGGAAATATAAAATTTCGTTGATAACTTTTCAATGTATGCACCTCGAGTCTTTCCGCGATCTCTTCTCGCGACGTTAATCTATGCGAGAACTCACTGAATGGCAGGCTTTGTAAGGGGAACGTCGCGCAGCTGCGTCCCTTTCGTATTTTGCGCGCATTCCGATGAAATAAAACGAGGATGGGCAAGGGTAGCGGCTCCTAGCCGCGAGTCGAGAAGAAATATTTCGAAACGAGAAGATGTTAAATGAGCAAACTGTCCGACTGTCACTCCGTCTAGTACCTAGTTTCTCAGTGCTTTACGAAAATGTGAGTTAAAACGATCCTATGAATATATCGCAAGTTTCCGTCGAAAATACACATGTAACATTTCTTCAAGTTGTGAAACTTTTGCTATATTTGTTTTTTTTATCACACATCTCAGATACCAATATACATCTTTAATAATCAATCAGATAATCTGTAATTTCACATATTCGGCCATTTTGGAAACATTCCTCGATCCATTTACATTTGACAATTTTTATAGATGTTTGCTCATGTGCATTCACGTTTCTCACAATAGTGCTCGTCTCGCTTGTGTCTTCTACAAACGCATGCGTAACGGAATCATCAATGTTGTCTTTAACTGTACCTGACATGAAACGGAATTTAAATTTAGCAGAACACGATCGATTCGCAAAGAATCCAATTATATCTCTAAACAGCGAATAAGGCGATGTACTCTCGAATAATTCCTTGTCCATCTCTTTTTCCTGCTCACTGGTAAACTGGTTGTCCGCAAGCTAAATAATTTGTACACGTAGATTAGTGCGATAATTTATATATATATTTAGTAATAAACGTTCATTAGAAATAAATAATTTCAAGTACCTCCAAAATCGTCATCTTGCCGAGTGAACGCTTTAAACTTTCTTCATCTGCGTCAACAAAAAAATTGTCGTAATATTCGTCATAATTTTCTGCAACTTTGTGTCTAGTACTGTCCCGACTGCATAACAATTCCCACGGTAAAAAACTGTCTAACGAAGCCCAGTCGGATTGATTGGTGACACGTTTAAACCAGTCCAAAGTTACAACATCGTATTTTTGACTGTTTATTACTTCCTTCCCTCGTATCTGAAAAAGTAGTTTGCACATAATTTGTTCTATTAGTTCGATAACTATTGGATGTATTTAAATTTGAGTTGCACGATAACATAGCAGAAAAAAATAGATATTATATATATTTCCTACCGTTCTATTATTGCCTACTATCACGCAGAAAGTTGTATTCATGGGATTCTGAACAATTTTTGCGCTATGCTGCTGCAGTATTTCTTCAATCTGCTCTTTCGGTAATTCATCGGTGCCATTAATCACACAAATTTCTTTTCTGTCTAATAGTCGCGTGAGTGGTACTACTCGCTTGTTGTACATGTCATGTTCACGTGATTTACTTCGACTCTGTCTTGTCTTTTGTAATTTAGAGACCGGTACTTGGTCGATATCATACAAAGTGGCTTCCCGCTTGGTTAACTTCTGAATCATTCCCCCATCCTATAATAATGAGATTATTGTAAATTATAAGTAAGTCACAATAGCTATTTTCGTAACGTCGCATAATTTATCATATAGCGACATTTACATACTTTGATCAACGATAAGAGTTCGACAGTAGTACATGGACTGTACCATGGCTTATCTGTCCTCACATTCACAACTCTAGGAAATCGTAAACTGTACCCTGTTGGATAGTCGTTACTGCGTACCATCTCGGTCGCTCGTATCGTTAAAATTATGGAATGTTCTGGATGAATCCATACATCTGGCTGATTTCCCTGTAAGGAATATACGTGACAGATCTACATAAGACGCGTAAATATATAATACATTATTATAGTGCGTAAATAACATAATAATATAACGAGTAATATATAAATTTAATTTCAAGTCTGTGTGTATTAAGTATGATGTATCGAATCAAATAGTAGATACGTAAGTAATAAATCGTGAGAAACATACGTTCCCCTAATATATTCGCCTAAAATAATACGTGATACGTAATGTTTACCTTGGGGCCTATGATATTTTCAGGATGTTCCTTGATCCAATATGGCGTAAGTTTTGTTTGAAGATGACGCAACGTTTCATCTTTTATTCCAGTGCTTACGGATACGATAGAGAGAAATTGCGACGGATTTTCTCCTTCGTTGTTCGCTGGAACGGCAACGCCCATCATAAAGCTTTTAATTATTCCTGTATATTTGCCCTCCCCGTAATAACCGCCGAGTATGATGAGGTCTATATCTTGTACTAAATTGTCGGAATACTGTAATACAATATATCTTGATTCACTTGCGTGTTACTTTCGAATTTTGTCCATATCATTATTACGGTTGACCGCACAGATGCATACATTTTGGTTGAAAACAATAGACAAAACAATATGGATATGTGTCGTAGATTTTAAATGTTTTATTTTCTAAACACGCATCTCTTTCCTTTCCGCGGTAAATTAATTTTTTTTTCAAAAACTCAACGTAACGGTATAAACAATGCTGTAATAAAACAAAACGTTTACCTCTGCTTTAATCTTATAACAACCGCTGCCATCTCGGATATTTGGTTTATATTTCATATTGTATTTCTTTACGACAAGTCCTTCCTCGTTATTCCGAAGGCATGTATTGAATGTCTCTATCAATTCCTCCCTTGCGATAAAAGTCATAATAATTAATCAAATTTATTTCTTAAAAAATTGTTCCATGATATCCAATTTACATACCATTTAGAATAATCTTATTGTATAACACATTATCGGTGTGCTTCCGTAATATTTTACCTGTTTGAAATTAAAGTAGATCGACATACAATTAGAGAACCTTCCTCTTCGGTGAATATATCGTTGAGAAGTTTTAATCTCTCTTTATAAGGTGTATCAACAAGCAAGACGTTATTGTGGAGAATCACGTCAAACGCGACGAAACACGGCTGGTGACGACTACTTGCCGACAAATGTTTGACGTCGAGATTCATACCTTTTGTACCAAATATTCTTTTCTCTTTATGCCAAGCCATCAATTCTCCATCCAATATAAAAGAATGACACGTCGGATTCAAACATCGCGTAAATACCGCGGTTAAGAAACCTATCGAAATATCAGAAATATTAATCCTACTAAGCCTATACTATACAGTTTTGATAATGATATACATGTATATGTATAGCCGAGGTATAGCCGATTTTTAATACCTATCGAATCGACGTCGATAGCGATCCACGAGCGGCACGTAATAATGATTTGAGCAACGTGAATCGAGCAAGTGACGTATTTCAAGCGAGTGAGTTTCCTCTACACAGTCTACATAAATCTATCATCTAGTTTGGGGAATATTCATCGTTGTCATACCCGAAGATCCAGTTTTTCCGTATCCAGAATTATTTGTAATATCGTATCCTCTACGCGTGAAATATTTAAACGTTCCATCCTTCATATGGAGTTGCGACCTCTCGCCGTCGTATTTAGTTTGTACGTAGTACAAGTCATTGTCCCGAAATAACTTGCCGATGTTCTCAATGTTGCATCTCTCCAAGAGCATCGGTTTAAAATGCGAAAATAATCGTATGCCGCATTTTAATTTGATCTTAGGGTCGTATAACTGGTTACAAATCTCGCGCAGGTCATTCGTTACAAGAAATTTATCATTCGCGTCAGGATGATAGACTTGAAAGAGAAATGGATCGCGATTAGTCTTCCAATGCGCCGCCAATGCGACATGCGACCCGCGACATGCTTATATTCTAATACCATTATCATTTCGTTGATAAATTTTATTTATTGTTAGTTATAGCGAATAATAAGTTGTACGAACTGTGCAGTATTCTTTGCGTTCCTATGCCAAGTCGTAAATCTTTAAGGACGATACGCGTAAGCCATTTCATCTCGAATCCCGTAATTTGTCGGAAAAGTACTCTAAATGTTTCAACTTTTTGCTGCATCGTTACGTTTCTCTCAGAGATAGCGTCGAGGAACGCGTTGATCCGTGCGATCGTGAATCCAGTACCACGTCGAGGTAACTTTTTATCCAATACGTAGTAAGCTCGGTCAGCGAAATCATTTCCTACAACGTCGCCCGGCGTGCATTCTCTAAAATATGATCCGTGCACCTTTGAGAGAATTTCTTCCGGTATTTACACGGTGATCACCGCGGTACGGTCTCATCGCGTATCTAATGATTACAATTACGAGATACTGACCGGTAATTTGCCAACTTTTTATAACTGTCGCTATTTCGTGCAAAACCGTATACGTGAGCGTAAAGATTTGCCAGCGAAGCTTGCTTCAAATTATGCGGTCCACGCTGTCGTTCGAGATTGGGTAGAATCAATCTCAATATGGGATAGAGCGATACATCCTAAGACAAAATTAAACCGATTAAACGTATGTCGCGACATACGTAAAATTCAATGAAATTAAAATTTTTAATACGCAAGCGTATTTATCGTTAAATATAAAATATATTATAGAATATAGATATAATTTTTAATTTTGAATATAGAATATTATGGAGTATAGATTTTATCACGTCTCTTATTCTTTGGAATTAAAGACTATAATAGTTTATCAGAAAACCTTTGACAGCTTCCTCAAAAGTTTCTCACGAGTAAAAAAAATATGAATTAGTTTTTGCATCAAACTACACGCACGTCCTTTATCCAACACAATGGCATATATGTATAACATAGAACGTACCGATTCAGGATATTCTACTTTCAGTTTGTCGCCGATATTTCGACATTCGTCGATGAACGTTTGCAAAATTTGCTCTTTCTTTTTTACTTCATGTGCCTTGGCAATACCTTCCAATGTATCACATACGTGTTTAAATTCAATCTTAGCTTCTAAATCAGTGGTCATTATTCTACTTTAAAGAAAAATCTTTAAATCGACTGGATTTTAACCTGGTGTCCCTTAAAAGATGGAATTTCGTCATCTTTTCGTCATCTGAAAAAATAATTATATACTTTGTTATTACCATGTTGCGCACATATAATCACATGTAGCGACAGCAAAGATATATGCACTTAAAAACGTAAATTGCGTAAAGTGAGACTGTCTTGTAAAGGGAGTTTGGATCCTCGGTCCTCCTTCGAAAGAAGAAGACGTGTACGATGAGCGAGTAAGATTAAACATAATACAAGTTGAAAAATAAACACATGCATGTGTTTTGTTAGAAAAAAAGTTTTATATATCTTGTAAAATTTACAGCACTCTCTATACTTGACGCACGCGCGCGCGCGCGCGCGCGCGTACATATGTATACATATATCTATTAAATAAGCAGAAATTATATATATAAAATATAGCACATTTTTGGACGACTCAAAATGTATTTCAGTTTTGTATTCATATCGTGATATCATTCTCGAGACACATTCTAGCAAGAAGATGGTTTTCGGATTGCAGATAGACGAGATGCAAATTGAAAGCTGCTTCCTTTCTCAGGTCCAAAAGATTCGCATGCTGTTTGACTAAATCTCCTGGATCTTCCTTCAGGACCAACTTGTAGAAGTGAATCGCAGACGGTAATAAACCAATTTGATGAAATGCCCGTGCCATATTGTAATAAGTTTCTTGTTGACCTTCTTTACCGCGTAATTGCATATATTTCTTGAAGAAGGCTAGCGCTAAAAAGATAAAGATCAGAAGGGAAATTTTTAGGAAAATATATCTTACATAATTAGAAAGAAGAACGTATGCTAAATATTGTCCAAATATTATTGTTGAGCGAGATATATGTATGTTATACCATGCACGCGTACCTTGAATTACAAGCTGATTCTTCTTAGCCGACATCTTTTGACATGCCATTTGTAATTGCGTCACGCCTATTAACAAGGCTAACAGTGCACTAGGTGCTACTTTAAAGAGAGACATATAGCCGTTTAGAGCATACTTGTAGGTTCCCGAAACGAGACAGTTGTTTGCATGCATAATATGCAAATATGAAAACACGTCTCTTCCAAGTAATCGCATTATAAATCTGTTATGCCTCAAATCTTCTGCTCTTTGAATGATTATATTTAACAAGTTCCACGAGTTGGACCTTTGACAGACACGCACGAATTCTCGTACGATATTGTATCCGTAGAACGAATCCTTATTATGAATGCAAGAAATCAAGCACAGAAAGATGATATGAGAGTTCCTCTTTTTAAATCTCTTTGACGTCAGAGCGGTGAAACATAATCTTTGAAGGAAACCATACTTGTTTAATTTACACGCTAGTTTGCACATTTGTAGGAAAAGTAGAAATTCATTTTTCTCGCTCGGTCTCGCATTAGCGATAAACGTCGGGGCGTTTTCATCTTCCAACCTTTCCCCGCAAGACAAACGACGAAGTTGCAGGCTATCGAGCCGTTGGCGAACACCCGTTGCGCGTGCCAATGCATTTAATTCGACCTTCGTTCTTATATTAACGCAATGTCTTGAGAAAAGTAACATTCCTGAGGAAAAGTATTCCTCGTATCTTCCAACTTTGAAGAGCAGTAGTGTTCTTTGATACAGAACATCAGGATCTAATGTATCGGATTCGGGATCTTGGTAGAGAACTTGTATCGCCTTATCGTAATGCTCCGACTTTTTATAAAGTTTGGCTAGAGCTAATCGTGCGCCTAAATGCTGCGGCGATAACCTTCGGACGGCTTCGTAAGATTCTATGGCTTTATCTAACGTGTTGCAACCAACCCAGCATTCCGCGTGCCTCAGCCAAACTGCGGCCAAGCTAAAATTCGAACTTTTAACCAACGGATCCAACAAAACCAGGGCACGCTGAAATTCCTTCTTGCCCATCAATGCTTCCGCTACGTCTAAAAAGAGATCTCCAGAAATCTCGGGATTCTCGCGCATGTAAAATTTAGGTAACAATTTCTCAGCTATCGAAATATAATCCAATTCGATGAGAGTTATGAGAAATTTGGCTTTCAAGTCGACAACCACATTATCCGGTACGTCGCAAGACTCTATTTCGTAACTATTTTCGCTTCTCGACGGAGCTAAAGTAGCTTTTCCTTTCGCGTTACTACGTTCCTCTTCTTCTTCTTCCTTCTCGGACTTGGGATCGTTGGCCGTTGTCTCTTTTTCTCCCTCCTCTTTCTTCTTATACCGTACTTGAATATTTGTATACTTGACCAATATATCTAAACATCTCTTAAATTGCTTCAGCGCTATTAGCAATTCAGTCATGATATTAACTTCTTCTAACGTAATGAGATCAGGACATTTGGTAAAAATAGTCTCGACTGCTTCTAGCGCTTGTTCATTGTTATCCTCTTGCATATAACGTTTGGCTAATATCTTTGCGTATTTCATTATATATTCGCCATCTTCGGCTTCCAATTGATGAATCAGTTTCGTATATCCTCGCAAGTACGCTTTTTTATCTCCGTTCTGTTCTTGGAGGTGCGCTCGCGTCTCGTATAAACTTATGTCCTTCGGACTGGCTTGAATCGCTTTAGAGTAACACGTAATCGCTTGCTTCATATCGCCGCTTTCCAACGACAAGTTAGCTAATCTTACCCACTGATCCGCATCTTTCGGGCTAAGATGCGCAGCGATTAAAGCAAATTGCAACGACTTCTCCGGTTGATCATGTTCATATATCATAGCTAACGTCTGAAACGGTTCTGGAGCGCTCGGTACTTGCCTAAAAGAATACGTGGTGGAGAATGTTGATCAAGGCACTCACTCGAGCAGCTCTCGAGTATGTAAAAATTTTAACCAAGCGTATATTACGTGATACGACAACGCGATAGAACCGTGAGAGAGAGAGAGAACTTACCTAATGATCTCCATGCAAATTTGAGCCGCTAACTCTTCTTCTCCCTTTGCGAATCTTAAATTTGCCTCTCCCATAAGTCCTTGCAAAACTGGCGGCAAAACGCGCTTTTTCCTCTTCTGACGCACGTTATTTGCTTTGTGTGGCTTTGGTTCCATGATCTTTTGTACAGCGACGTGATCGAATCCGATGGTCCTTCTAAAAGTAGAATTAAATGTAATATTTTTGCGAATCAACAATCAACTGTGAAAATGATTAAATGAGGAAAGGCCTTTAGCCATACCTGGACGCATCGCTTTCTATCGTCTCCAGATCTATATCCTGATCCATCCTTGAGGAATATTCGCTAAATGTTAACTCGCCATTCAAGAACTGTTTCGTTAACCGATCTTCCTCGTCGGCAGTTAGCGACGTATCCTGATCTTCCGCGTCCACGATATCCTTGTTGTGCGTACACGGCAGAGAGAATGGACACGTTGGAATAACATCCGTCACCTCTTTTATTTGCAATGCCTTTGCCTCGACAAACTCATTTATATCCATGTCCATTGAGCTGATGGCACTTTCGTCCAATTCTTCAATTATCACCGGTGCCACGCTACTATTCTCACTAATAGCGAGGCTGTCGTCGGCAGTCGACATTTCACTTGCCACTTCCACGGTGATGCTGATGTTTCGTGATGCTTCGCTCGCCGTACACTCCATAATGCGTGTAAATACGCTTCGCCGGTTTTTTTATGTCAATATTACGTAAGACAGTTCTAATATTTTATAAGTGAATTTTGAAAATACCTACATTCAACCGTAACGTTATCGCGTTGACTTTGCTATCGCTACATACCGATACCATACACTTATCATAGAGATTCGCTGTCCGCTGATACAATGAGATAAAACGAATGTGGGTACATTGCCGATATTTACCTGCCGTAAAATTTCTCCACAGGAAAAATGTGCGAAAGAAGCAGAAAAAATTATACGTGATAAATCGATCAATCGCCTAATGAGAAGACCGGCCCCGTCTTTTGCAATCGGAAAGTTCTGCGAAATCAGTAAGCCAAGTAAGCCAAGTTAGCCAAGTTAGCCAAGTTGAGGTTAGCCAGCTTAGCCACGAGCGTAGACCGTAGACCACGTATTCGTCATGGGTAGCGACTCACTGTTCACGACTGTTGCGCGTCCGGCGCGTCCCTAGCGGCGAGCGGCTTGGTCACCGACCACCGACCACCGACCACCGACCAATGAAATCGTAGATCGTAGATACTCTAGTGACGTCACTGACGTCTCTCACTTTTCGCAGCAGCACTGTGCCGCGTGCACGGTGTAGCACGGTGCCGAGTGCCGACACTGCCGACATCTAGAAACAGCTGTTCGTCAACACCCCTAACGCCCCCCATAGCTTAGCCAATAGCCATTAGCCATTCTCCCGACCGTCATGGCTGCTTCCAGGTTGACGAAGCCATCAAAGCCGTCAAAGATGACCGTCGTTAGATGAAAGGGATTAATGAGCACGTACGCAAGTACCCCTGTTTGGACCGTTTGGACCGAAATCAGCAGCAAGGACTGCATAGTTAAAGTTTATACCTTTCTTCTTATGTCCGTAATTTATGTAATGACGGTCCTGTAATTTTCTAACTCGTGCGCGAATGTTCTCCTACGCCTTTCACCTTGTGCGAGTAGTGTTCTGCGGTTTAATTAAGACCAAGACTTTATCCGAACCGATACGATTGCGTCCACAAGAAATGAAACAATGATGCCGATAAAGGACAATCAAGATGTGGCATGCTTTTTAGTTACCAAGCATTCTACATGGAAAGGAAAGTAAGTGCGATGCGTTGTTCTTTCTCTCTCATATCTATGTATCAATCCATATTTTTGCACGTCAATTCAAGACGTTGCGTTGCGTTGGAAAGAGATGTAGAAGCGAATTAATGTCCAACGTCAAACAAAAGATTGTACGATTGTTCGACGGTTGGTTCATGCAACTATATAAGGTACTAATGCTGGGACACTGTCTGTTGTGTGTGTCTCTAAGACCTATTGCCCGCGGAGAGACACCTTTATCATTTTAGTTTTTAAGTAAGTGTAATGCGAATTAAAATCAAAGATAAAAATATATGAAAAATATTTTTATCTTTGATTCTTTGATTTTAATTTGCGTTACAACTTATTTAATATTCAACATTCTCATTAGGTATTTATTTAACCAAGTTACGTTCGATAATATATGACTCTTTGAAATAACAATGCTATTTTCATTCACTTACATCTAACAATAAGTAATATATTTTAGGTACAAGCGTATCTTCTCCATTGGCTCTATGGGGATAACGACATACAATCCTGGTACATTAGAAGTGACAAACAAATGGGAATATTCTGATTTTATAAGTGTACAGCCAATAAATAGAAATCACGTAGGTTCTCATGAATTTACTATAACCGTACGTAAGGAACGGAAAAATGAGACCATGAAGTTTAGCTCTGAACATAGACCACACTTATTGACAGAAGCACTCAAGTACAGAAATTATGTTGAAAAGTCTAAAGAAATTTTGGTAAGTTTACACATGCACATGTATTTTTTCTTCTTTCTCTTCTCCTACTGAGTATTATATATGAAAGAAATGAGCCCCCACACTTGGAGGAGGAGAGAGAGAGAGAGAGAGAATTACTAACTATATAATATATGCATACATTATGTATATGTATGTTATATTTATATTTGCAGAGATATTCAGCTTATAAACATCACTGGTCTGATACAAGATTACCCATTGTATTAGAAATAACACCATACAGTCTTGATCAATTAGATCCTGCGACAAACATGGTATTAGCTAGTTATTGTTATAAAGATTTTGAAGGGCTCCTGACAATGAAAGATTATCCCAATGGATTTGTGATTGTATGTGGTGGATTTGGACGTCTGCATCTCTTCGCTTCTAAACATATGGAAGAGATAAAAAAGAAATTGCAAGAAACTGCATTAAATAACTTGGGCATTAATATAAAGATGTTGAAGGAGCCTATAAGACTCGATGACTTTATTGCTCAAAGATTAGGGAAATTTAGCAGCGACGAGCATATAACGAGTGTATCGGAATTTACTGTCCACAAAATCTCCTCGAGGCATCTGGATCCTCAAAGAAGAACGCTTTGTCTTTCAGACACTTGCCTGTTGGAAAGAGATCCTCAAACCTACAACATTTGTACTCTTAGGCCACTGTCGGACATTTTCACTTTGATTCGTGATAACGATAATCCTCAATTGTTCACTATACAATATCTCAATGGTCAAATGCGCAGTTATACCGCGACAAATAGAGATTCCTTATTGGCATCTTTACTGGATGGTGTAAGAGCATCTGGTAATAGAGATGTTCATGTAAAGATGTATCCCATAGCCAGAGGTAAAAGACTCGGACCTTTCAATCTACCTGTTGACGAGGAGGTCGAGACGACGCATGTCAAATTCCTTCAGCAGCCGCCTGGAGGACGTACGTTTGCTGAAATTTTGGAGAGATTTAACGCAAATGTACCGTACAGCGGGCTTAATTACTCCATTACGCAAGACGTAAGATGAAGCATTTCTCTATCTCTGATTGCGTATACGAGAGTTGTACTTAAGAAATATCGTTAAGTAATCATTACGCATTTGTAAGCACATGGGTAAGAGTTTGTACAGTACATTGAAGCGGTTAAAGTGTTCGTGAGACTGTGTGAGAGAGTTTCGAGTTTCCCTTTGAAACTTAATAAAATCGATATACGTGTAAAGAGATTGTTAAGTTTTAAACGAATACGTTTATATGAATTATAAATAGTACATAAAGGGACATGAGACATTTTCTGTTTATCCAGGAAGTTGTACCGCTTGAATGGACTGTAACAACATTACAACTCCAAGTACATCGTATCACGAATGATTACTTACAGGGGATTTTTACTGAAAATAAAGACAAGATTATCCTCGGGGCTTTGAATACTTTAATAAGCAAAGATCTCGAGACAAATAGCGAGATTGAAGCACAATTTCATGCACTGCGAAGACTGGTGGCTAGCAAAATCGGTTTCGCTGCATTTACAACACTTCCTGGCTTTAGAGAAACCGTTGGTACAAAGGTCGTGAAGGCTTTGAAAAGACAAAATTGTGGTGTAACGCAAGCTGCCATAGATTGTATTTGCGCTCTAATGCAACCAATGCATGACGATTGCGATTTAAGACAAGAACAACTGAACAAAAGTAGTCTGCTCAGCAGTAATAAGTTTTTGGAAAGTCTACTTGAAATGTGGGTTAATCACATTGTAAGTATTTTACAAATGTTACATTTACTCTTATTGTTCGTAACATCAAATTTGTTGCGTGTGTTTCTGAGATCTATTTTAAAGCCTTTGCTTTGTATGACTTGATTGTCTTTCAGCATTTTTGTTTGTTTGTTAATTATTTGTAAATTTTTTAATTTTTGAAATATATTTATCGACGTCTCGATAAATTTAACATGTGGTTAAATTTATGCCTTTTACTGTAGAAGCAATAAGAAGCTGTAAAAGTTTTTTGATAATGTGCAGAGATATCCTAAAATATAATAAGACATGAAATGAGAGAGGGGGGGGGGGAGAGAAATCTGATTTACTGTGCAATACATCGTAGCCTTTCTTTTTTTTAATATTACAGAATCATGGTACAGGTGCACTGGTAGTCTCCGCTATGCTCGATCTTTTAACATTTGCCCTGTGTGTACCATACAGTGAAACTACCGATGGCAAACATTTTGACAATCTTTTAGAAATGGTTGCTACAAGAGGTAGATCTTTGTTTAAATTGTTTCAACATCCTTCGTTGGCTGTGGTCAAAGGTGCTGGATTAATAATGCGAGCAATCATTGAAGAGGGTGCACCAGAGGTAGCAGCAAAAATGCAAGAACTGGCACTTGCAGAAGGAGCTCTACCAAGACATTTGTTAAATAGTTTATTTACGATCGGTAGTGACAGCAGATTATTAACGCATCGACAATTGTGCCGACATTTAGTAGGTTTGTGGATCACGGGACATCCTACAGCTATGGGATTATTGAAACGAATTATGGTGAGTCGATATTGTCTATATTGAAATAGGATTCGCACTCTGTAAGATAGAGACACACGTATATGCTTTTAAAATAGCGCCTATTACGCGGTGCATTTAAATACGAATAATGTGCAACTGCTGCAATTTGTTCGTAGCCGGTGGGTTTGTTGAATTATTTGGATTCTGATGAAAAAGTACCGGAGTCATTCTTGGAAGAAGAGAGATTGAACAATCGTGACAATTTAAAGATTGCTATAGATCATGCGTCAAGAAATAAGAAAAGTCCACAATGGATCGCTATCGAACGTCAGATGCGAGTAGTTGAAAAGCATGTAGAAAATGCTTTGCAACATTGGGGTGCTCGTATTGGAATAGAACGTAGAGAGAAGATTAAAGAGCGTCCGATAGTTTTAAGAAAACGTAGAGAACGAATTAAATCTGAAGCAAATTGGAAATTATTCTATTATAAATTTAATCAAGATCACGCACTGCCAAATTTAATTTGGAATCACAAAACGAGAGAGGAATTGAGAATAGCTTTGGAAAACGAGATACGTGCATTTAGTTCAGATAAAGACTTGGCTGGCGGAACTTTGATTGCGTGGAATCATAGAGAGTTCGAGGTGCAATATCAATGTCTTTCGGATGAAGTTAAAATTGGAGATTACTACTTGAGGCTTTTATTGGAAAAGGATAGTCCGGACAGTCCTATAAGAAAATCGTAAGTACATATATCGATAACCATTTTACATACATTCGACGAAAAACGTATCGTGTGACGGGACATTACCAATTTTGTGAATCCAAAGGTAATTGATTGACAAACGACAAACTGGTTGCGTAACAAACGTGACGAAACCAACGGTAGAAAGAAGAAAGAAAGAAAGAAAGAAAGAAACGTTTACGAGGTGTTACAAATAGCATGAAAATAAGAAAAAAAAAATGTGATAAATGTTTGTCTAGACAGTTTACGTAACGATGTCTTATTTTCAATTGCAGATACGAATTTTTTAATGATTTATACCATAGATTTTTATTGACTGCGAAAATCGAAATGAAGTGCCTTTGCTTGCAAGCAATGACGA